ACCATTGATTTGAGTTAACAAAATACTTACAGACGCTTAAAATAAGCTTCAGCAGTATATTTGAGATTTCTTAAGTAACATACATCTTAACCCAGTCGCCTTCTTGCTGTGGTTCTTAATATTTAGTCTCAAGGTTTTGCATGTTGTGTTTTCCTGCATTTATTTGGGGTGATAAGTCATGTGCCTTATATGACATTGGGAAGCCTTTGTTTCTGTTCTCAAAAGAATAAGTGCTTTTCTATTATTCCCAAATCAGATGAAAGCTGCTAGTCGTAGACTCCTAAATATTTTACCAATATCTTGTTGTTTACTTTCCTCTTATAAAACTTAAGAGGAAACTTTGACATCTTAAATATCTTCAGTATTTTACCTTCCTCTTAGAGAACATTTCTTTATTACCTCAAGAAAATAATCATGAAGAAATATCCGGTTCAGTTCTCCACCCAGCGTACTGCAGCTTGTACTATACTCTTCTCTTAATAAACTTCTCTTAGAATCATGATAGCTAGTGAAAATTTTGGCTTTTATCTCCTTTTGGCACCGTCATATCTACTTTCTTCTAACAAACTAAAATCCAGTGTCTGCTCTCTTTGCTTTGTCCCGGGTTGTTCCTGACACTTTTCAGTTTGTAAATTCGCATCTGTAGTATTGACAGCAAATAATTTGGCTTCTTCTGATGTTTCTCTCATTTATATTTGTACTATTTCCTTCTATTAAATAATAATTATAATTTAGAGTGTGAGAGGTGCCATAAAATAGGCATTGTATTTGCTAAACAGAAGATATTTGGTATAATTACATACCTAAAGAAGAATAAAAGCCATTTCATTCTATTGTTTAGTTCAGTGACATGCCAGAACTACACATCTACACATCTAAGTGCTTGCTCACTTTTATAGTAAAGGTAGACAGAGAAGAGAAAATCATTACTATGTTTATTAAGTGAAAACAAAAATATATACTCTGTAAAAGTAGATTTACTTAGTGATATAGGTCATTTTTTTTCTTCCCCATTCCTGGTCATGCTCAGGAATTAAGTGTGGCTCAGAGATCATTTCTAATAGATCTCAGGGGGATCATATGTGATACCAGAATTCAAACTTTGGTTGGCCAGATACAAAGCAAGCAACCTGCCTGCTGTACTAACTCTCTGACTTGGCATAGGCCAGATTTTCTGGTATACTTTTAAGCAGTGGTTGCAGATTTTATTTCAGCAGTAGCTTACTTGAAGTTCATATCTTTAAGGACTGTAATACTATGTCAAAGATTCCAGATTGATCCTTAGGCTATTATTATTATTATTATTATTGCTTGGGACAAGCAGCCTACTGATTTTGAAAAAGCAATTCCTGTTGCAGGTATTAACTTTCTGAAACACAACTTGAAACCTCTTGCTTTAGAAGAGGAAAGATAGAGGATTTCCCTCCCTTATTCCAGAAGACTGAAAGTTTTTCTAAACAGGAACTACATTCCTTGTAGGCACAGTGTATCAAGAGTTGCTACCATTTTAGCATCACTATTTTTTTCTGTCTTCATTTGTAATATCTGATAGGGCTTAAATCAGTTAGGATATTTAGGATAGGCTACCTGTGCCAAATGCCTTGCATGCGGCCAACCTGGGTTCAATTTCCAGCATCCCATATGGCCCCCTGAGCACTGCTAGGTGTGATACCGGAGTTCATGAGCCAGGAGTAACCCCTGTGCAATGCCGGGTGTGACCCAAAAAGAAAATAAAAACAAAGATTAAATTATGCAGTTTCTAGTGGCTGTATCAATCAATACAGTTTTCCCAGTGATTTTTATGACTAAATAGAAGCATTGTTTTCTTGGGAGGCTGTAGCGTTGAGAGAATTTAAGATTTGAGAAGTGTGATTGAGAAATTGTCATTGTCAAACCTTTGTTAGCATTAGATGGCGAAATCAGGATGTAAGACAAGAGCGAGTAGGAAGTGTTCAAGGAGGCGTAGTTGGCCCTCACCTTTATTAGAGAGGGAAAACAGGTTTGCAGTTCAGCAGTCCTGGAGGAGGATATGAAGATGGACTTTCTTTAGGGTGTTTACAGATTTTCCTTTGTAAGCAACGTAATATCCTCCCCGCCAGCCCCCATGTGCCTGGTCAACACATATCCTACTGCTTCTTTCTGTTTGGCCTCAGATGATACACTGCAGAAAGGGGATACTTATCTAGATGCTAAAGGAACTCCCATTTCTCTGCATGTCATTTTGTTTTCATGTTCACTGTAGAATTTACAACTCAGTACTTTCTCAAAAATGATTCGTATTTACTTTCTTTTTTGCCTTTCTTCCCCCTGCTTCCAACAGTAGAGAGAAGCTTGGTAATTGCAGACACCATGTCAGTTGTGTTTATTGCTCCATCTGCAGTCCTAGAATAGAGCCTGCTATTAGAGCACAGTGTCTCTGGCTAGACGAATAACCTGCCAGAGGGCAGAACTCCACCTGATCTTTGTGGCAGTGATGATACAGTGTTTGTGGGATTGAATTAATTAGGCTATTATTATTGAGGGGAAAAGCAAGGTCAATGAAAAAATAGAATAAATTTACTTATTTGGGGGGAGGGCACACCTGGCAGTGCTCAGGGATTTTCCCTGGCTTTGTGCTCAGGAGTGACCTCTGGCTGTGCTTGGGAGACCATAGGTGGGACCAAGGATTGAATGGGATCCACTGCATGTCAGGCAAGAGGCTTAACTCCCCAGCTCATAAATGTATACATGAAGCCATTATATTTTGTTTTCTCCTCTAAATAATAGGCAGGCTTAGAATAACTGCCCAAATATATGACTTAGGACTAATACTTGATGCGCAGGGGCTGTCCAAATTTGCTGTTGACTTCTTCTGCATCAAGAAATCATGAGATGATTATATCAGGAAATGGGATTCTTCCGATGCTTCTTTGAGGATTAAGAGGCTCTTACTTGCTTCTCTAGAAGATCATTTTCTCCATAGCTAATGTTGCTTTTCCAGATGGACCTTCTTAAATTGGTATTCTGAAAAGGATTTTGCCTATGTTTTAACTAAAAAAAAAAATTATCCTTGAAACAGAAAAAAAGATAAGATTTTCTATTTTTGAATAATCTTTAATGAAATAATTAGGTCTGTAGATTGAACTTTCTCTAAAGATGTAATTTTACTTTCTTCCATCTAAGTAGCCTTGAAATATTTTATATATATGTATTTATATATCTATACGTAGATGTATAAATATATATTGCTATTAGGTCAGACATTTGTAGCAAAGCTATCTATTGAGTTTTATAGAGGAAACTTGGGACATATTGGCAGAACTATCAATTTTAATGACAAATGTATGTCTGAGGACTGATATTTAATATTTACTAGTACTTTAATATGGGCCATTTCAGTATTTTTTGATTCATTTGTTCCATGTTTCTTGGAGAAGTGACTGTGAGGACAGTCTTATATTAGTGTTATGGCATTATTCCTTCAAATGCAACGTGTTGATTAACCTCAGCCAGATGGGCTTTTCCAACTCCAGTGATGTAACTCCTCAGCAAGCTAAACATGTGTATACTTTAACCCTCTTTCCCCGGAGTGTTTTCCCGGCTTGGAGGGAGAATCTAGAGATATACTCAGTCTGTAAGGATAAATGAAGTCATTTCTCTCCCACTTCCTTCTTTTTATTGAATCACCATGAGATCCTCAGCTACGAAGTTGTTCCTCATTGGGTTTCAGTCATACAGTGTTCCAGCAGCGCTCCCTTCACCATTGTCCGTTTCCTACTACCAGTATCCCCAGTTTCCTTTCTACTCCCTCTGCCCCCCATCTCCCAGCCTGCCTCAATGGCAGGTACTTTCCTTGTCTCTCCTTCTCTCTCTCTCTCTGCCCCCCCCCCACCCCCCACACACACCTTTCGGCATTATTATGTATCACAAGATTTTTCTATTTGGAGTCTTACTCTGAATTGAGGAGTCTTCTCTGCCACTGAAAATTAATTGACTCTCCTGGGGATTTCCACCCCCTTCTCCTTTTTAATGAGGGGCCACCCTGGCAGTGTTCAGGGGACCATGAGGTACCAGGGATTTTGCTCAGGGACTTGCGCATACTTGGCATGTTTTCTACCACTTGAGTTATCTTTTCCTGCTCACTTTGCCTTCTCCACTTGGACTCTTAGACATGAATTTCTGAGTGTGTATGATAGGAGAGCTCATATATACGTATAAATTTAATACGTATTACCTGCTTTTTCCTCTTCTTGTTTTCAGTGTTTTTGTTTGTACTATTAGATTGTTTGGCTTTGATTACTTTCATGATGCTTTTGGTCATGCTTTATACTTGCCATTGAGGTCTTCTCAACTTCCAGACATAATCTGTTCCATTGAAACTCATGCTAAAATTATGAGTTTCATATTTCATAAACATGTAGTTTCAGAATTCAGAAAATTATGAAATAATAAATTCATAATATCACAATTCAAAATATAAAGTGTGATATTGTACAACTCATTTTCATGAAAGTAGGCTGGGTTCCACTATGAGAAAAGGTGTGAGGCATAGCCTTATCCCATGGAAAGCACAGAATATAGCTTGGATGAGAATTGACTTGATAGTAGTATCGATTAGGATTAGCCAATATGATGCTATGAGAAAAGAGGTTGAACAGCGGAGAGGGAAGCTGAAATTTTAACTTTGGCACTGGACTCCAGAGGAGCTGCTAGTCCTTGAGTGCTGAATCTTAAAGAGATGGACAGGCTTTCAACATCTGCCCAACTAGTTAAGTGTAGCACTGTAGCACTGTCCTCCCATTGTTCATTGATTTGCTCGAGCAGGAACCAATAACGTCTCCATTGTGAGACTTGTTGTTGCTGTTTTTGGCATATTGGATACCTCACTGGTGGCTTGCCAGGCTTTCCCGTGCAGGCAGAATATCTCAGTAGCTTGCTGGGCTCTCCGAGAGGGGCAGAGGAATCGAACCCAGGTCGGCTGCGTGCAAGGCAAATGCCCTACCCACTATGCTCTCACTCCGGCCCCTTCAGCAGCACATATACTAAAATTGGAACGATACAGAGAAGATTAGCATGGCCCCTACCAAGGACGACATGAAAATTCATGAAGTTAAGTGTATCTAGTTTATTTAAAGCTTTATGAAATTTAATTGGATAGCTATTATGCATGACCATGGTTCTTTATTGTATAGGAAACTGGTTTTAGAATTAAGTCTGAATTTAAGAAGCCAGCAAGGTACAAAGAACAATGTGAATTGAAGTTCTCTGAAAATTATATCTGATCCCTTCTTAGGGAAAGAAAAGAAGGGCAACAAAAGCAAAAACATTATTTTGTAGTTGTTTGGAAATAATCTGTTTTGAAATGGGATGAATAGAAGCAATGGTGGACTCTCTCTTACAAAAACAAAACCAGCATCCAACTGTTGCATTTCTTCCTTTCAAAATATCATGAGCACTTGACCTTGTTCAGTGGCATTAAAGGTCACACAGAAAAGCTGGGAGCAGCAAGATGGGCCTGTAGTACCTGTTTAACTGTTCCTTGGGGTTAGATGGCATGGTCATGGTCCTCCCGTTGTTCATCGATTTGCTCGAGCAGGCCCAGTAACGTCTCCATCATGAGACTTATTGTTACTTTGTTTGGCATATCAAAACCTCACGGGGAGCTTGCCAGGCTCTGCCGTGCGGGCGAGATACTCTCGGTAGCTTGCCGGGCTCTCCGAGAGGGGCGGAGGAATCGAACTCGGGTCGGCCATGTTGGCCGCTTGTAAGGCAAACACCCTACCGCTGTGCTATCGCTCCAACGAAGGGCAAGGGTTCAGAATATGCTAGCTGGAAGGAACAAGGCAGTAGTAACAATGGGTCCATGTGTAAAGAAGATTTGGTGGCTTTCTTTCCGTAAGGATTCCACAGAGTGTAGCACTGTAGCACTGTCCTCCCATTGTTCATCAGTTTGCTTGAGCGGGCACCAGTAACGTCTCACAACCAACTGTGAGACTTGTTACTGTTTTTGGCATATTGAATATGTCACGGTAGCTTGCCAGGCTTTGCCGTGCAGGTGAGATACTCTCGGTAGCTTGCCGGGCTCTCCGAGAGGGGAAGAGGAATTGAACCCAGGTCTTACATGTTGGCTGCGTGCAAGGCAAACACCTTACCCACTGTGCTATCGCTCCATAGAGTGAATCAAGTAAAACCAGTGATTATTAGATGGACAACTGGGTTGTGTCCTTAATGAAAGTATTTAGATAGGTATAAATCATTGCGAGTTGCATGGAGGGTTTCAAACTTTTGTTAAAAGAAGAATATTAAAAATTTCAGGCAATGAGGACATGACTCATTCCATGGAAATAGAATTATGACCTTTTCCCCCTTTCCTCGTCTTTTTTTCTCCTTGTGTACATTTTTTCTAACAATAAATAGTTGATACACTAAGCATTATGCTACAAACAGTGTATAGGTACATGAACCTATTCTGCATATCATTTTTAAAAATAGTTTTGGGAGTGAAACTTTATAATTTACAAAATCCTTAATGTATTTTTCTTAGACATGACATTTGGGTATTGTCTTCTGGTAGACCTGTATGATACATGTGATAATTTAGATAGAGTTGCATTGTTTTTGAAGGACCTTCACTTAGCAGTTTTCAGGGGCCAGTAGTGCTAAACCTCATGGTATTCAGGAGGTCATGTAGTGTCAGGGATCAAACTTAAGGCTTCACACATGTTAGTCATTTGTTCTATCACTTGAGCTATCTCCCTGGCCCCGAAGACAATTTTGAGACTTTTTGTTCTAGCTGTGAAATAAAAGAGCTAGACTATATAGGGAAAGGAAGCTTAATCCAATATCCTGTTAGTTTCTAGATGATATTGGATCACTGTTGGAACAACTGATGGTCTTGCTCAATTTTTAAACTCAGTTTTTTTTTGTTGCTGTTGTTATTTTTTAAAGTTCTGGTAGAAACAGAACCATATCTGCCCTAAATGCTCAGCTTTCCAGGGAAAGCACTTCAGTGCAACACTTTCACCTGTACCAAATTTTTAAAGGTTAAGTTAACCTTAGGGAGTTTGGAGAAGCATTTGATTGGCTGATGTTAATTTATCATTGCTCCTGGCCAATGACTACTTCTTAGCAACAGCAAAGAAGTGAAGGGTTGCATAGATCTTTTTTTAAAAAAAAATCAATTCATCAAACATTTGCTGAACACCTATTATTTAGCTGAATATTTAGTGCCAAGAGTTACAGATATGAATTATGATAGGATTGCTGACCCTAAGGGACTTGGTCTAGTGAATATGAAGGGTAAATGAATGTCATCTATCGGCATGATGACTATGCAACAGAGGTTAGGAAGAGCAATAAGGGGGGCCATTCTGAAAGAGCTAACTTTCTGGCCTGGGTTTTGATAGGAATAAGAGTCTCCAGTGATTCCTGCTGAATTATTCTGCATGGTTCCTTTTCTCTTTTCGCCACTTTTTTTCTTTTTTGGTTTTAGGGCCACACCTGGCAGCGCTCAGGGGCTACTCCCTGCTCGGTGTTCAGAGGAGGTGCTCAGGGGAGTACGTGGGGCTGGCTGGAGAAGCAGGGGACTAAACTTTGGTGCACAGCACGCAGAGTGTGTGTATTCAGCCTGTTGAGATGTCTCTCCCGCTTCTTGTGCATGGTTTGAAGAATGAATTCTTGGACTTCCATTATCATCTTTTATTAAAAATCCTATAAATGTTGATATTGTCCTATAGCTGATTCCTTCAATAACTTCTGAAATTGGCGTCTTATTATATAGATCGTAAAGATTATCTTGAACAACTCAGAGAAAGAATTAATATAAGGGTTTAGGATCTTTAGACAGCTGATTAAAGGGACACAATGGTCAGTGATATTTGAAAAGAATTTTTGATAATTTTGTTTGATAATTTTGTTTGATAATTTTGTTTTCAGACCACACCTGGCAGTTTTCAGTGAGGACTCCAGGCTCAGTGCTTGAAAGACCATGCCAGGGTTCAAAGCTTGACCTCCTCCAGGCATAGCTTGCATACAAGTCCTTTGTGTGATCTCTTGGCCCGTAAAAAGGAAGTATTCTTAGTGAAGTATTGTTGAGTGACAGAAGGTGGTCCCAAATGTGATTCTACTAGCTAAAAATAATTGTTTTCTTTTCATTTTTCCCCGTTGCCGAATTTTTGTTGTTGTTGTTGTTCATAATTCTCTTTTCTTTTTAAGAATTGGGCTACAAACTCTTAATGGTTCTGGTTATAAGATGCATAAATAAATAAACTTCCTCCCCTAATTTTATTTTTCTTTAGATTAGAACTGTAAGTTTGTACTGCATTACGACTGTTTGTCATGTTTATTGTGCACAAAAAGTTTCCTTTGTTTCCTTCTAATTAAGAACTCAGGGTCCACATTGTTCTTTGTTCTTTACAAAAATATTGTCTTTAAGATTAATTGAGGTATGAGTTGGTAAACCAGTTTCTTATAACTAGGCTTCTATGGAATATTAATACATAACAGATCATTTCTTTTGGTGGAAAAAAAATCCAAGATCTTAACAACAAGATGTGCTCACTAACAGCTGTTTCCTATAATAGAAGCAATTTGCATGCAGAATAGAGAAAATGAATTATACAAAAGGGTGTATAGAGGAACTGCAATAACTTCTCTGGCATGTACAACAGCCACAGAATAAACTTCCTTCAAATGACTTTGGCATGATTAATCCCAAACAACCTGGACACTGAGGCTGCTGTTCAGAGAAGGGGCTCTGTAGTGTTGAAATGTCACGGGTGTAATACTAGCTTTCTAACTCGGAGTGGGGCGCCCAGTGCATTCCCTGGCATGTCCCTCTCTGTATCCAGGTTCTTTGAATATGCAGGCCAGGTTGGCATGTGGTCAGTTGATGTGGACTGTAGCCAGCCTGAGCCCTTTTACGGTTTCATTTTTTTAACGAGAGGATGTGTTAGAGCAGGTGAGATGCCTTATTCCTGATTTGCTGCTAATGTCAGTGTTGTGGCATTTTTCTAAGATGAATCCAAATGGCCAAATGTTGAAAGTCCTATCTGCAATTGCATCTTTTATTCTTACATTAGTGAACTGTTTACTCATGTTCATCATCATGTGTAATGAAAGATTTTATCACTTGTTGTATTTCCTCACATTCCTAGTCTGCCTACTTTTTGATGGTCTTTCTTATGAACATGTAAATGATGTTCTTGTTTTGTTTGTGGGCCACAGCTACTGGTGCTCAGGGTTTACTCCTGACTCTATGCTCAAGAATTACTCCTGTGTGCTCAAAGGACCATGGTGGTGCTGGGGAGTAAATCTGGGCTTGCCTGGCTGTTTGCAAGGCAAGCACCTTAACCCCTGTTCTATCTCTCCAGCCTGGTGTTCTGTGTTTGAAAGAAATGGAGCTGGAAGTTGTCAAGTCCCAGGCTATGGTCCTGAGTCTTCCAAATCATATCCGGGTGGCTCTACTGGCTGCCTCATTTCTCTTTCCATCTGAAAAGACTGCATGATGACTGGGTACTTTTTGATTAGATTTCTTGCTTCCTTTCACTGAGAATTTATTTGTGTTAGGACCCTATGCACGCTGTGACCTCAACACACATCGTACTATTTAATCCTCTCACTGTCGCCAAGAGGAGCCTGCAGTTCAGAGTTGAAGTAGCTCTTTGCTCTGAGGTGTGGCCGATCAGGGTTTGCTATATTAGTCCTTTGAGATCTTGACTCTTTAATTTCTGTTGAGGTATTGATATCAATGACAGGTGAGGTTTTTGAATAAGGAATAAAGTGATGTGGAACTTTGTTGAGGGTCAATCTCATAATTCAGGCACTTAATGAATTGGGAAGGTAGAAGAGGTGAGATGATCTTTATAGTCTGCAGAGATTTGTGTAAAATTTGGATTTGGACAGAAAATATTAAGAGTCGCACCAGTATGTTCTGGTGGGAATAATAGGGAGATAGGGTGCAGGTGAGAAATGTGAGGCATATTTATGAGGAACTAATGCAACTTCAAGAAGCAAAGAAGGTTTGATGAGTAAACAAGGGGGAAGGTCAGTAGCTGCCTGCTGAAGTGGACCTGGGCTACAAGGTTAGATGATTCTGATGTCCAGCAGCTTCGTTTTATTTCTTTGGAGACTACTAAATATAATCTCTACCAGAATCATTTTAATTGGGGAATTCAATGAAAATTTTAGTAGGATACAATTATTTTTAGCTTCTTATGTTGTTTTTTGGTCATATGCAGTGGTGCTCAGGTGCCGGGGTGGGGGGTGGGGTCCATGTGATTCTGGGAATCAAACCCGGGGCTCCCACAAGCCATGCCTCCAGCTCCATGTTTAGCTTCCTGGTCTCATTTTTCAAGTGTTTTCCTAATATCCTTCTTCATCAGACATGCAGATGTCCTATTGTTTCTTATGTAATGTTATGAGATATGTAGATTTCAATTATTTTTGTATGTACACTAATATTTATTTTGGTTTTGGGGTAGCACCCGATGGTACTTAGGGTTTATTTTTGGCTTAACACTCAGGGATCACTCCTGGTGGTGCTCAGGGAACCAAATGTAGTGCCAGGGATCAAACCCAGGTCAGCTGTGTGCAAGGCAAGCACCATACCTGCTATACTATTGATCTGGCCTTCTACACTAATGTTTTAATAAACACTCGTTTGGCAAGGGAAGTGGGGAATACTGAGTCTTACTGGGCAAAGATGACACTGGGAGAATCTGGGTTTGGATTTTTGTTTGTTTTGTGTCACACCTGGCAACACTCAGGTGTTACTCCTGGCTCTGCACTCACTCTGGGGATTGAACCTGGGTTAGCCGCATACAAGCACTCTACCCTCTGTATAATCTCTCTTCCCTGGATTTGGAATCTTCTAAAGAAGATTTGGAATCTTCTAAAGGCCTAGCCTTTAATTAATCAAAATTATTTTCATGATTAAGAAATAAATCGCTTTTAATTAAGCTTTATTGAAACTAAAGTTTTGAGTGTTTAAATGGCAAGGATAGATGTTATTTTCTAATGCAGCTACTTCTTTTGTACAGAGACGAAGCTCAGAGAAGTGGGGGATTAAGGGGTCAAGTGGAACTGTCCTCAGTTTCCCTAAAGCTTTAGGGAAGAAAAATCCTGCTAATGATCATGGTTGAGTATGAGGACTTTATCTTCTTTCCCAAAGGTTTAAATAAGTAAATCACTTTTTTGCTTTACATAGGAAAATATAGATTTGGGAAAGAGCAGAATAGATGAGAAACTTTGAGTGGGACTTGGCAAGGGACTATGAAAATTGAGACTCTAGATGATATAATGAGATTTTCTTATTCGTTTTTTTAGGGAATGTCTTTTTGTTTATTATCTTATCTTACCTATTTTCTTTTTTTTTTTTTAATGTTGCAGTGTGCAAAGATCCACCTTACAAAGTAGAAGAATCTGGGTATGCTGGTTTCATATTGCCAATTGAGGTTTATTTTAAAAACAAGGTATGTAATCTTTACCCATTAATCTTTCAGTAGAAGATCCTCTATTAACCAAATGATGTTTAAAATAATTTTTATTCATAAGCACTTCTGTCACTAGATTTTAAAATTAAAGTTAAGTTTGTTTTTCTCAGGAATTTTGACTAGTGTTATCCTTAATTATAGAGGAAGTAGCTAGAAAAATGATTTCAATTATATGAAGGAGATTACATAAAATTAAAAAGAATTAAAATTTTTAAAAGAAATGAGTGATTATTATTTTGACAAAGAAGCTAATGTTTCTCTATAAAATAGAAGAGAAATCATCATTTTATTGTGGAATGCCTCTTTTCATATTTCTAGGGGTTTGAGATTTTCAAGATAATCTTTTATTTATCTTTGGCTGGTACACAGAATCACATTTACAGTGATATCAACTTGAGATGTTCTGGATTATACTGGATTTAAGAATTTTCAATAGTATATATATGACAGAACACAAGAACTACATAATGTTGAACAAATTATGCAACTTCGATGGAGCTCATTTTCCTTATTTATAAAGTGAAGATAGAATAAATCTACAAGGTAACTAGGCAGATTAGAGAAAATAAATCGTGTTTTCAGAAAAATTGCCTCATATGTAAGTAACCACTTGATAAGTGCTATTTTTTTTAATCACAAAAGTCATTTTATTCCAAAATACTTGTCTTCCAAAATACTTTTGTCCCAAGTGCTAAAAATTTCCCCAGAGGGAAAGAATACACCTTTAGAAGTTTTTACACACAGACACACACACACACACACACACACACACACACACACACACACACACACACAGTGCTTAGGGGCTTCTCCCTGTGCAGTGCTTGAAGGTTACTCCTGACCATGCTGGGTGGGTGGGCAGGTTGTGTGGGAATGATGGAGAGAGGGTTGCATATGGTGCATGGTGCCGGAGATCCAACTCAGCCCCCCGCCCCCCACCCCCCACTACATGGAAAGCATGTGTTCCAGCCCTTTGAGGCAATTCCCCACCTTTTTTTTAAGGAGCTAAGTTAATGGGATAACTTGTTATCTAAGCAAGCCTCTATAACAGCATTTCTCACCTGGGAACCTTACCATCCCACTGTGAATTCTCAGACTAGCTATAGCATGAAACCAAGGGACCAACCAATAGACTGGAGGGTGGGGGCATAGAATGAGAACAAGGGAGAAGAGGGCAACTGTTGGAAAATAGTTGAGAAAAATGCTTTATAAAGCCTGGACCTTGGACCAACAGTTCCTGTCACTCAAGAGCAAGGTAGAGTTGAGATTCTGAGACTCTATCTTAGCTTTATGGAGTCAGAATCCCTGGGGGTGGAAGTAGGAACATGCATATTATACATGATGATTCCAGTGCTCGGCAAAGTATGAAAACCACTGTTAAGCACTCTTTAATGTTAGTGTCCTGGAGTTCTTCAATTTATGAAGGCCTAGCCTTTAATTAATCAAAATTATTTTCATGATTAAGAAATAAATCGCTTTCAATTAAGCTTTATTGAAACTAAAGTTTTGAGTGTTTACATGGCAAGGATAGATGTTATTTTCTAAAATTTTTGAACCTGACTTTTCATATAACAAATTTCTGCTATACAACCTCTCTACAGACCATTTGTTCTCATTAATAATAGCTTTTTAGTTTTTTGGTTTTATTTTGGAGCTGCACTTGACTTACGGGCTACCCTTGATCAGTGCTTAGGGGACCATGCAGTACTAGGAATCAAACCTGCATGTGTAGCATGTGCACAACCCACTGAACGATATATTTTTCCAGTCCCCCACCCCCATTAGTACATTTCTAATAATGCATTTGGGAGCTTATAACCTCCAACTTACAGTTAAATATTTGAATGCTTTCTTTGTCCTTATCGTCTGTGTGTCCTCTGTGTATGTTGTTTCATTCAGTAGCTTTATAAGAATTTTTGAGAGGTAAGTAATATTATTCAAATATTACAGGAAAGGTAACTGAGTCATAGAAGAATTGAATAGCTTCTCTCTGGTAAACATATTGTTTGAAAAAGTTAAAATCAGATTCTTGATCTAGATCTTTATTTTCATTGGCTATTTTATTAAAATACCTCTATACCTTAGAAGCTATAACTCTTTGCTTACTATTCTTACTTGTGATACCACTAAATTGCTTACTCTTCAACATATCAAAATAAATAATTTATTAATTATTATTATTATTATTAGCTTTTGATGCTTAGGGGTTATTCCTGGATCTGCCCTCAGGAATTATTTCTGATGGTGCTCCGGGGCCCATATGGGAAGCCAGAGACCAAACCTGGGTCCACTTTGAACAAGGCAAGGACCCTACTTGCTTTATTATCTCTCCAGCCCCATATAAACCATTTTTTGAGATGCATTTATGTCTTATACTTTTACTTGATGTATTGACTTTTTTCTCATTTAAAGTTGAATTTCCTTTCAGGAGCTAGGTCTTAGCCCCTCCCCACTTCACTTAATAGTGTTGAATATAGGGGCTGGAGCGATAGCACAGCGGTAGGGGTTTGCCTTGTACATGGCCAACCGGGTTTGATTCCCAGCATCCCATATGGTCCCCTGAGCACTGCCAGGAGTAATTCCTGAGTGCATGAGCCAGGAATAACCCCTGTGCATCGCCAGGTGTGACACCCCCAAAAAAGTGCTGAATATATAGCATAAAATTTACCCCTTTAAAGCAACAACATTTATTACCACTATACTAATACATAATTATTACCAGTAATGCCACCAATGTATCAAATTATTGTTGCGATATTGTATACCAACAACAATTGTTACCACTATCTAGCTTTTTTTTTTCCAGTGTCTTTTAGCAATCACTCTTATTTCCCTTTCTTTTGGTCCTGGAAAGCATTGATCTGTTTTTGAAAAATGTAGTTTTTTATTTTTGCCATTTTATATAAATGATATATGTAGCCTTTAGTATCTGACTTAATTCACTTAGCTTAATGTTTTCAAGATTCTTTTACATTATAGGATATGTCAACACTTACTCTTTTGTATATTTGAATAATATAAATATATCTTGTTTTGTTCACTCATAACTTGATTTATATTTTCACCTTTGGCTACCATGAATGATGTAGTTATGAACACTCAGTTACCCAGTTTTATATTGACATGTTTTCTGATTTCCTACATATGGGGTTATGATAATCAGTTTAACTTTTTGAAAAACTGCCAGATTGTTCTCCAAAATGACTATGCTCATGTATATTGCATTACCAATGTATGAAGGTTATAATTTTTCTACATCAATCATTTTGCTCTTTTAGTTTATTCTTTTGTTTGTTTTGATTATTATCAGACTGTGAAAGTTTGGGATTTGAGTTACATCTCACTGTGATTTTTGTTTGAATTTGCCTGATGACCTATATCGTTGATCATCTTCTGATATATTTATTGTTCATTATGGATTTTTTTGTAGTGACTACTAAAAGCATTTCCTATTTTCTTAGATATTGGTTTTAAAATTAGGTAGTTGTATTTATGGAAAGTAATTCAGAGTCTTAATCTCCTTAATCTTCATACTTAGTTTCAGTATCATGAAAGTTTAATAGAGCCAATTCATTGCTTTTCATTTCTATTCTTTTCTTTTCTGTCTTTTGGGTCACACCTGGAAGTCCTCAGGGCTTACTCTTGGTTTTGTGCTCAAGGCTCACTCTTTGCAATTCTTGGGTAACCATACTGGTTGCTGGGGATCAAGCCCAGATAGACTGTGCATAAGTACCCTATTCATGTCCTGTCTCCCTAGAATTTCCCTATGGTGCTTTTCTTTCCTTTTGTTGCACTTTTTATAGCTGGTGCTTTAAATCATGTAGAAATTGGGATTGCCCTGTAGAAAAATTCTAGGCTTTTAAGCCATAAAAAATTTTCCCCAAAGAAATTAGGACATAGGCAGCTATGCTATCTTGTGGGCAGTATAGTGGATACCACCTAATTCCATCACCTAACTAATTTTAAAATCACATTGGCCTCAGTTTGGTAATAGTGGTGCAGTAAAATGTCATCTTTACTGTTTTTTTTTTTGAACTTCTGTGGTCAGTTTTTTTCTAGCTACCAATTGAATGGAGAAATATATTTTTTGAATTACCAAATATCTGTCTTGATAGAAATACTAGATTCACACATTCAATATATTTTTTTTTTGCTTTTTGGGTCACACCCGGTGATTCTCAGGGGTTACTCCTGGCTCATGCACTCAGGAATTACTCCTGGCGGTGCTCGGGGGACCATATGGGATGCTGGGAATCGAACCTGGGTCGGCCATGTTGGCTGCGTGCAAGGCAAACGCCCTACCCGCTATGCTATCGCTCCAGCCCCACATCCAATATTCTTGACACTCCAGGTTTTCATTCTCATGACTGAAAGATATGACTTATCTTTCAGTCATAAGAATGTTTATTCCCTTTATGAAGAAATTTTTTCCTTAAAATACAAGGGAAGAACAGAATAGGAAATGGAAATTACTTACTTTTGAGGGCCATTATAATAGACATGTAGGTTGGACATTATTATACAGATTTTCTGTTAAGTTTTATTTCTGTTTTCTAGTTTTATGTTTTCTTTAGGCTTTTTGCTAGTACAGAGATAGTACATTAGATAGGTCCTTGTCTTGCTTATAGCCAGCCCAGAATTCCCACAGTGATCCCTGAGCACATAGTCAGTAGTAAGCCCTAAGTACTGCTGGGTATGGCCAAGAGAGAGGGAGAAAGAGAGGAAGAAGGAGGGGAAAGGCAGAAACAGGAACAGGGACAGGGACAGGGACGAGGGAGGGAGAGAGAGTGGTAGAGAAGGTGGGAGGGAGGGGAAAGACTTAATCCCCATCACCACACCATACCTGAATACCCTGAGCACCATGTTGGGTATAACCCCGAAACAAAATCTAAATCATTTTTAGTTTTATAAGCACACACTGAGAGACACATACATGCACATATGTTTCTAATATGAAAAATTAGGATATCCTTAATTAG